AGGCTGCCTCTAATTAAACAAATTATTCACTAGTTCTTTTGGATTCCCTGATTTAAGTAAAGAGTTAGCAGGTGAATAGTACATCATATTTTAGTTTAGGTTTACCCTATCTGGATTGCAAGACAAAAGCAAAAAATACAGGTGTCTGCTACTTGTTAGTAAGGAGTTAAGAATTTTCTATATTGTTTTGCTGCCAACTTGTGATCAAAAAGGCTGGGAAATGCTGGGCTACCTTTAGGGATGGCCCTAATGGATGGAAAGTGGCACTTCTTTCTTGGTAGTTGCTACTTGTTGTTAACAATTAACATATACATCAATACATTAAATGGCAACAGAAAGTTACAATTTTCTGAATTTGTTTGTTTCCATCTAGTGGTCACATTAATTTCTGCAGTTGCCGACAGTGCTGGGGGTTTTATTGTTAGATCTGCTCTGCTGGTAGTTTTTGAGAACCTTGGTAGCCAAACCCTTAGAGGTAGGTAAATTCAGGGAACAAGAACTAATTTCCTTTCTGGAAAAATCTTTATGGCCAGTAAGGTAAAGTATGGAATATTGAAAATTTGCTGAAGCTATTTTCCAGATCAATTTATAGCAATAGCACTTAGACTTCTATAACGCTTCATAGTGCTTTACAGCCCTCTCTAAGTGGTTTACAGAATCAGCATATTGTCCCCTATAATTGAGAATCACTTTCTCATGCTTCCCCCATCTAGGGTGAGCCATCCCTTTTGCAAAACTTGTGTTTCCTCCCTGTGTTCCCCGGGCCTTTTAGACATTCATTTCAGCAGCAGCAGTGGATGCCATAAGGATTGGTGCTTTTGGAGTGATTGGTTTAGAATTGTCCTATGGGAAACTCCTAGATATATATCAAACCTGAAGAAGATGACAAAGCTCAATTCAGAGTGGTAGTTGGAATTAAGTGTTGAAGTTCAGTGTCAGGAAAAACAACACTGATCAACTTTTTAAGAGTTGGCATGTGCTTGCCTGGCATCACCAATCAGCTACTTGGTATTAAGTTGCAGAACAATGGTACTAGTGGCAAATACTACTCTGTGACTGACAGCAATTTCTTCTTATGGCTTTGATGAGGAATGATAAGCTTTGATCAGGAATGATTCAATATGGCAGCATGCTGGAACAAATGGGAACAGGATCAACATCAATGGCCAGGTTAGCTGCTAGCTACTGCATCAGCTTGAACAGTGGCCATCTTGCTTTCTTCATGTTGTACCATTAGAAGTGAACTTTCAGCTTCCTGCTCCCACTACTGTCAGTGCTTTCCTTTATTTATGTCTATAGTACCAGATGAAGGTGGGCCCGTGGGATGTATGTTTAATGGTTTAATGGACAGTGGTCTCTTGGTTCTCTTGGACTAAAGATGCAAGAATATTCATCGTTTTTCATTTGGGTGTCAGCAAAAGAAATACCTGGAGTGATGCTGAATTTTGAAAGGCAAATGTAATCAAATATAGGTAAAGGCTTCTATTAATAATTACACCATGGTAAGAGCTATAAAACAAAAAACAAACAAAAAAGCAACCCAACCCTGAGGTATTTTTCCCACTGTTATTTTATGGACAATTGCATTCTACAATCCACTGGCCACATCTGACCCTTTAACTGCCCCTCTCTGGCTTGCGCCCATTGGGCAGGGAGAGCAACAATAAAGGAAGTGGCAGCCCTCTATAACAGTCCCAGTTTCTCATGTGGCCCCTTGGGAAAATTAATGGCCCATTCCTGATTTGAGATAAGCCATTTCCCCTATGGAGATTTGGGCCAGAAGATCATTTGAAGGATTATTGTGAAGATCTTTGAAGTATCTATTGAATGAAACCTCTTGCATTCACTTAGAGCTGTAGCTGTGCACTTCCTGTTGAATTAGCTAAGTTATGGCCTTCCCATGAAATTCTGGAAAGCATTTGAATACATTGATCTTAGAAAGTGGAGAGGATTATGGGAGCTATGAATGGAAGTAGCTATCTATAAAATCCATACCTTTGGTGGTTGATCAAGAAGTGATGTGTGATGGGATTCAGGTGATGGTGTATTCATCCTTGAGTGAGGAGTGATTTCATTTTTGCTTAAAGAGGCTATGGTTTCAACCCTTCTCAAGAAGCCAATTCCTGCCTCCAATGATTTGGATAATTTCCAAACCAATTCTAACCTTCCCCTTTTTTTGGAGAAAGTTGTGGATAAAGTGGTCAGACAATTTTAGACAGCTTAGTGGGAAACCGATTAATTGAATCATTGGGTTTCATGCCTAGGCAGAGAGAAGATATTGATCATGGTTATGAACAATCCATAGCAGGAAAGAAATTGACATGGCATATTTCTTATTTTCCTCCTAGTGTTTAATATTTGTTTAATGAGGCTACTAGGTCATCCATTGGCATGAGTTAAGATATTCATCTCTAGATAAACCGTATCAATACTGAGTGGCTATGAATTTGAAGCCTTGTAGATCTGGAGATTTTCCATCTATTGTTCTGTATGGAATTCACTCACTTCCCTAAAGAGATCCTAAAGTCTCTTCACCCTAAAGTGAACAATGTGGTGTCCTTGATGGCTGACAACGATTGCTTGAAGAATGTAAAACAATGGCCTGAACAGCTTTCCCACAAATCTTGTGCATCAGTTTCACTCATTGCTGGTTTGGAAGGTCATACTCACGTATACCTCAGGACCAGTGGTGGGATTCAAATTTTTTTACTACTGATTCTGTGGGTGTGGCTTGGTGGGCATGGCAGGGGAAAGATACTGTAAAATCTCCATTCCCTCCCTACTCCAGAGGATGATTACTGCAAAATCCCCATTTCCTCCTGATCAGCTGGGATCAGGAGGCAGAGAATAGATAGGGGTGGGGGCCAGTCAGAGTGGAATTTATGGGTTCTCTGAACTACTCAAAACTTCCGCTACTGGTTCTCCAGAACTGATCAGAATCTGCTGAATATCACCTCTGCTCGGAACTGTTACAATATATTCTTCAGAAGCCACAAATTGTTTTTGAAGACTTCAGAAAGCAGCAGCATAAGTAATTATGTTTATATTTGGTATGCACATGTAACACTGCTACTTCATGAGTTACAGTGGTTGCCTGTAGGCTTCCAGATGCAATTCAAGATTACGGTTACTATCTTCAAAGCACTTTTTGATAAAGATCTTTTTAAAAAATATATTTGCAGGACCATTTATTTTCTGCCTATCTGATAAAAACTGATAGGACTGGCATACTGGAGGCCTTGCCTTTCAAACAATCTTGTCTTATGGGACTCAGGAGATGTGTATTCTGTATTTATTTATTAAATTTATATTCTGCCCATTTCAATCATCGCAGTGACTCTGGACATCTTACAAAATAAGAAAAAAGAATACAAAGCAATTAAAGTTAAAGTTAAAAAAGATTAGAAACCAATAGAACAGGTGACGTGGGATGAGAATCTTTTCTTGAGCCTGTCAGCCAGCCCCAGCATAGAGTGCACCTACAATTTTTTTCAATTTGTGTATAAATTTGCATGATTAGGAAAGAAGGTTTTACTCTAGTATAAAATGTCCACGTTTAACTTATCAATCAGTGAAACATTTCCATGTTATGTCAGAATTTGGAAAAGAAAGTAAATATAAAGTAGGAAAATAGGGTGAATTTATTTGGATCATTTATTTGGATCATTTATTTGGATCATTAGTTAAAGGCTCTGCTTTTGTGGTGATTTAATATATTAATGCTTGCTCTACAGATATAAATGCATCTAATAGTTATTAAATTTGAAAGTTTTGAGAAAATCCTTTGCATGATTTAGTTGTGGAGTATATTTAGAAAGAATATGATCCAATCTCCTAAACAAAATTATGAAGCAAAAATTTGATTTTCTAGATTTTCCAACTTACATCTTATTTTTGTAAACAAAATGTGTAACAAGTTCATATTGATGTGTTAGATGCTTATTAAATGAATATATAAATTGGAACAAAAGATTGGCAGTCTAGAGAATAAGTATCTTTATATAATTGTTATTTTAATTTCCCATTCTTAGAGTTACATAAATTCATATTTTTCAGAAATAGAAATGTTCATTTTTCACCTGTAGTTGATAATTTATGAGTGAGCAAACTCAGAAAATTATAGTTACCTACCTATGGACAAATAGAACGTGAAAATTGTTGTTGTTATTTTAATCAACGCTATGTCAAAACACACCATGAAAAGTCAGTTTATTTATATTTTAATCAATGATCAGCATAGACGCCCTGAAGTAGCACACCAAACTTGTAAATGATAGCTTTGTATTGTAAGAAACAAACTCAGAGAGGGCCACATTAAATGATTTGCAGAAGTCTGTGTATCATAATTATCATGATGTTTGTCCTTTCAGCTTTGCCTGGGGCTGTGATTTCAAAATATTAATATTCATGTGCTAGATTAATGCTAAAAGTGCAGGTAGGTTTCTGTGAATTCACATAGGCCTGTAATTAAACATGAATATTTACTGAAATAAATCTAATAATGAAAGCAGCATTAAAAATATATATAATAAGCAAACACACACACAAACAACCTGTTAAGCCATGGTCAAAAGAAGAAGTAGCTCTGGCTTCTCTTGAAAGCTACATAGGATCAGACCTGATTATTATTTGAAATTGATATCCCTAGAAAATTGCTGGACTGTAGATTAGATTGGAAAGTTTATTTTTAAAAAAACATCCTGGAAGAGAGCAATTGCAAACATTTCCATAATATTATTCACCAGGAACTGAGTTCAACGCAAGAGACATGGATATTCTAGTGTTTAGTGAGTGGAGTTCAAAATGCTACACTCTGGGTTTTTAAAATGTGTATAAAATACCCAATGCTATTTCCTAACTTGAATGAACAGATCTTGTTAATCTAGGAATTTTTCACTTCTTTATAGCAATGTTTTTATATAGGATATGAATTTGATTAAAATACAAATTGTACTCACTGATTATTCACTGACTATCCCTGCTGTTCTGTTTGTTTTTAGAATGGGTAAAAAGGTTAAAAAGGAAGTTGAACCTCCTCCAAAGGATGTGGTAAGTTTATAAAGCAGTACTCATAAAAAATGTTTCACAATTACGATCTCCAGTTTTGCTCTTCTTTAGTCTTTTACTCCTACTTACTTCCCTTTGGTTTCTAAAAATACCATATAAACATAATTATATTCCTTCTACATGGTCTTTATGTTTAAAGAGCAGGAGGGAAATCACATTGATTTCATGAAGAATATTGTATTCTGCCTGTAAGGCAGGACATGAATTTATTGGAGCCAGTCTTCCATATTATTTTGTCTTTTAAAAGAAATAATAGAATACAATAGAATAGAATTCTTTATTGGCTAAGTGTGATTGGACACACAAGGAATTTGTCTTTGGTGCATATGCTCTCAGTGTACATAAAAAGACAAGATACATTCATCAAGAATCATAAGGTACTACACTTAATGATAGTCATAAGGTACAAATAAGCAATCAGGAAACAATATCAATATAAATCATAAAGATATAAGCAACAAAGTTACTGTCATGCAGTCATAAGTGGGGGGAGATGGGTGATAGGAACGTTGAGAAAGCTAATAATAGTAATGCAGCCTTAGTGAATAGTTTGACAGTGGTGCGGAAATTATTTGTTTAGCAGAGTGATGGCATTTGGGGAAAACTGTTCTTGTGTCTAGTTGTCTTGGTGTGCTCTATAGCATTGTTTTGAGGGTAGGAGTTGAAACAATTTATGTCCAGGATGCAAGGGGTCTGTAAATATTTTCTACAAATTACTTATTTTGCTATTATCATAATCTATATTTTTACCATACATTGCCCAGCTGCAGATTTATGGGAGTGTGTTTTTTTTAGTCTGCATTTTTTTCATTATAAATTTAATATGTTCTAGGAAAGGGTCTCAATAGATTTGTTCCCTATGTAGGTTTTTTAAGGATGTTGTGTTGATAGCTTTGCTAAATTGCTACGATTAACAGTAGAAGATACTGTTTCTTTGGTAGGTCATTGGTGTTGTCTGAATCTGTTTGTTTTCTTGCAAAAGTTCATTATGTTTGCAAGAAATGTCTGTACGAAAAGAAGTAGACTCAGAGAACAATCAAGGACCCCTCATTTCAACCCCGAGCTACAAATATTCTCCTTTATTGATACTGGTTGTTCATAGACCCCCGTCTAGTATTCGTTGAAAGAATGAGCAAGATCAAAATATTTTCATTTCATCTTTAGAGATTTATTAGGGATTTCTTCACTTAGCTAATGCTTTATCTGCAAGTTTATCTTGTATTGTGTCTTGCAATAAAATACATTTCCTGGTTTTTCTCCTTGAAGAATAGTAACTGGTGGTTCATCACTTTGGTCTGAACTGTAGGCTAGCTGTTCAGTTCCACTCAGTTCTGTATTTTATGGCCATGTTTCAAACACCAATGTGGCCAAATTGAACTATTAGTTGTCATTCAAGAAGAAAAAAAGATTGAGAAGTGTGGATACAAAAGAAAAACAAAATCTTAAGTAGAGACAGAGTTCTACTCCAAATATGCCAGGCTTTTAATATTTCCCTACTCAAGAATTTCAGATGTTGTTGTCTTCCATTTTTAGATTTCCTTTGTTTTCCCATTGCTGTTGTGGCATCTCACAGAGGAGCATCACTGGGTCAATTCCTCCTCCACAGTTACCTCTGAGTGGAACCAGCTGTTGAGGAAGGAATTGAACCAACGTAAAACAGTGTGACTGATCCCTAGACTCAGAAAATACTTCCATTTAGGTTCTGACAAAGGTCATTCACAATATTTTTTTTCTTTTTACGACCCTAGAGTCCCTTAATTTGGGGTAGAGTCAGGTTGACTAGGTGAAGCTGAACATTTATGGGCCAGATATGGCCATGTGGCGTTAGCAGCAGATATTTTTTCTTTGGATCATAGAAGATGATCAAACATCTGCCACAAGTTAGGATTGAACTCTCAATCTTCCAAATCAGAGGCGAGCATCTTCATCACTAGGCCACCACACTGCTCATGATTGGCAAAAATGACTTATGCAATTATGAACCATAATCTACTATTCTGTCTCATTGTGGATTGGTTGATGTTTGTCAGCTTCATAGAGTGAGAAGAGAAGGATTGGCTATCGCAGGTTCTTTCCTGTTTACAAATAATCAGATTGAGATAAAGCATTGGAAACTTGGACCGTTGATTAGTTTTATCTTCCTTCAATACTGGCAGGACTAAACATTACAAAAAAAGTTTACAAAGAAAAAGGAATTGCACAATTATAAATGCTTTTAACTATTTTAGAAATTAATATCTTACTACTAAATCTGTAATATAGTTTATCAATTTTCTATAAGCTATATTCTATAGTCTCTAAAATTGAGTTTTGTTGTATTTTCATAATTACTATATCCCATATATATTTATTTATTGTTGGCCTCTATATTTCTTTTGTCTTCAATCCTATTCATGCCTAGTATGAAAAGATTTGACTATTGCAAAGTGCCTCAAGACCCAAATCAAAATCCATCGGCTGTGAGACAAACTTGAAGTGTACATTAGTTGGGATCAAGATAAATGCAATTACAGACTAAATCACAATAAATCTAGTCTCTGGATCATATAATAGGTCTACTATATTCTGTATCCGTCAGATCCAAACCTTGAGTTTTGTATCCAATTCTGGGCACATTGGATATAAATTGAAGCAGGTCTAGAGAAAGGCACTGACGATAATTGTGGGACGGAAGCTAATTCTAGCAAGGACATAGCAAGAAAATTAGAGAGGTTTTGCCCTGAGATAAGACAACCAAAGGTATGTAACACAGAATTAGGTCAAATCCTATTTTCTGTTGTCCCATTGTACAGAATAATGGTCATAAATGCACAAAGGCAGTACTTCCTATCAGTAAGAGAGCTTCAACAAAGGAGTCAACTACCAAAGAAGAGTGTGAGCTTTCCTTTCCTAGATATAGTTAAGCAATAGCTCCACAGCCATTTGTTGGGGTTGCTTAATTTGGATTTCTGCACTGAACAGGGGGTTGGAACTGGTGGCCTAAATAGCTCTTCAGCTCTATGACACTATGATTCACTTATGTAGCATATCTGAACTTTATATCATTAAAAAAAAAGAAAAGAAAATTGTATAGCCTGTTCAGCCTATCTATCCATCTGATTCCATTATTTCTTAAGTTGCCTTTGAGGCTATTATTACTGGTACAAATAGGAGTTTTCAAACGAAAACTTCTGAGAATTTCTGTCATCTCAGTTGTCATGCTTGATATCCTTTTTCCCACTTGATAGGAATGTTCTTTTTGAGTTGATCTGATCAGTGTGGTCCATGGATTCCACATGAAAGTGCACTGCAGGGTTTTGTAATACAATTGCATTTTTCCTGTACTATTTCTTTTCCTTTCTTCTTCAGACTTTTTGCATCCCTAGTAACCTGTTTTTAGTACACTGAGCAGGGCTCTTCACTGAATCATGTACAATGCTGTTATCTTTGGCTTTTCTGACCCTTTTATGTAGGATGCAGGGAATTACTTGAGTAAAATATATTACGATGTATTTCAGTAAAAATTGTCTATGTACATCGTATTTCATAATTGAATTTTTTATGTTTGATCAAAACTGTAAGTGCTTTCTTGCTAGGTTTGTTGCCTATGGCCATATCAGCAACAAATGTTGCTTCCTTTAAAAACTCATTGATCTCAAAATCTTAGAATTAATGTCACAGAGTCCATTTCATTGCCATCTCTTTTTCAGAATTACTGGTTGATGTGTATCATTACAATTTCCAAAACTCTATTATATGTGCTCAGTGGATTTCCTATGAGTATGAGAAAGAAGCCGTTTGCAGAAAATTTCTAAGCTAAATGCCGAATTAGTGGAATTTGAATTCCTTTTTTTCAGTATAATTATTGTTCATCTCCTGTTCATCCATATTTTAGAGGTAGGCTATCTGTGGCCAAGGCCAATCACATTTCAATAGCCCACTGCAATTATGCATTTCAAACTTCTATTTCCAAAATCCCCTTGCATGGAGAATTAGGGAAGTAAAAATAGAACCTTCTTATAAGCCATAAAACTGCCATTAAAGTTATAAACAATTAAATCCTTCCTGTTACATATTTATAAGTATAATATATGTGTAAATATATTATTGTATATTGTAATTTCAAAAGATATGTTCAATGGTTGCCTTATATTTATCAGTAAATATCCATGGCACTGAACTTTATAACACTGATATATATTAATATCCTTACTGTTTGATCTAGTTTGATCCTTTGTCAGTTGAAAGCAAAAAAGCTGCAACAGTGGTTCTGATGCTCAGTTCCCCTGAAGAGGAAGTGCTATATAAAGGATGTGAAGCTCTGTATAAATTTGCATTAAAAGGTTTGTTCTTCTTTTATCATGTTCCACCTGTTTATTAATGAGTACTAAATACTTATATGAATCACTCTTATTTCTGGTTAATATTTAAGTGTCAGAACTATGCAAGACATTATATAGAGTTACATAGAGTAATATAAAACTATTGGTTATGGAAGCTTCTAACATATAAGCAACCTCTTCCAGATAAAGAACAGCAGGGAAAATCAAATCAGATTGTTAAGGTTAGTTGCACATTCAGCCAGATGTTTAGACTGAGTTTGCCATTTTTATCCACCTATTGAGTCCTCCTTAAGAATCTGGGAATGGCAGATGTATGTTTGTAAGCTTATGCCCCATCTTATTATTTTTATAAATAAAATATTTCTAATTGGGAACATAATTAGAACATATCTAATACTCCTTCCTCATTTTCCCCACAAAAAGAACCCTGCATTGGCCTGAGAGAAAGTGACTGGCTCAAAGTCACCCAGCTGGCTTCCTTTCCTAAGGTGGGATTTATGGTTTCCCTATTTCTATCCCAGTGGCTTAACCACAAAACCAAATTGTCCCTCTATATTGTTGTTTGATGGTGTAAAACTATCATTGCAAGATATAAGCTATTGCCAAGTAAAACATATTATAGTTTGTCATGCAGTCAGCTAGATGTTTAGACTGGCATTTTGCTCCACCTATTGACTTAGAACAGGGAGATGCTATTGAATGTTAAGCATATCATTGCATGGTATAAGCTGTTCCAAGTAAAAGTGCCTTTTGCAATTGACTGATGATTTTTTGCACCGACGTCACCTACTTTTATTAGTATTTACTTTCTTTTTGCAAATGTTTGTATTTTGTATTTTGTGATTTTTTCCAGTTCTTTCTATTCTGCTGTCTCTAGGTACTTGTCTTTTTTATTGAAAGTTGTTAAATCTAGAGTGTTACATGGCAGATACTTGTCTGTTTGAATTTGAAAATCTCAGAGCACTTTAGTTTCTTCATTTTCTATTCATCTATTTTGTCGTCCGAGTAGTTTTTGCTTGCAGGCAAATGATATTTCTTGCAGATATTTCAATACACAATTGTTGCTACTTTGTCATGCCATTTGTTTGTAATCAGTCTATGTAATCTTCTTGCAGCAACCAACTAGGTGGTCCACTGTTTCTTCAGCTTATTATTAATTACTATTATTCATGCATTACTATTATTGATGCATATTATTATCATCTATGTGCTTTAGTTAGGTTACTGCTGGATCATTGCAGAAAAAAGTGATCTTGACAGACACATATAACATTTTTGTTTCAGGGTAGTTCATCCTTTAATATTGTTATTTTTCTTCTTCTACAATCACTACTATTGTTACAGTAAATTTTCATTGTTAAGGAGTTTACTGGATAAAAAGAGTTGCAATGGACAAAATCTGTTTATACTACCATTCTGTCCATGTATAAAATCCCATATGCCTTTTACACTTATAGAAAATGCATAAAATATATAAAAGACTTGTGTAAAATGTATTCAGGTTTAATAATATTTTTTGTTTTGTTCTATGGACACTTTTCCCCATTGGTCTGTTAAATCAAAAGCTTACTGTGTTATTATAATAATTAGGGAAATTTGAAATTAAATGTAATTAACAATTGTTTTTTAGGTGAAGAAAACAAGCTGACACTTCTTGAACTTGGAGCATTAGAACCTTTATTTAAACTAGTTATACATGAAGATCCCACTGTTCGCAGAAATGCTACCATGGTAGTTGGAATCATGGCATCTCATAGTAAGAGTTCCCTTTAGAAACATGGGCAGTATTATGCATCGTGAAACTGTTAACACATATTAAACCGATGTAAATTATGAAATTGTTGCATGTCTAATGTTTATGCTAAGCAACACTAAAAATAGTTGAGTTTAACAAAGTTAACTTTGAACTGTTCTATTCTAATAATGGAATAACCTTTGTTCTGAAAAGAGGAAAAAATGTAAAGAAGTATATGGAGAGAACAAAACTGTATAAGACTTGAGGAATATACTATTAAGTAAGTTGAGCGTGTAACTTTTTCAGTATAAGCAACCCTGGCCTTTAGGAGTGCTGTTATGAACTTCATTCCAAAAAGTGGGCATAGTAGAGAAAGTAGGCGAGAGCAGGGTGAAAACTGAACTTTATTTGGTGTAAACTTTAATTTAATTAAAATTGAAAGTGATAAGTTGCCCATTTCCTTGTATTTATTAATGTTGTAAAAATCCAGCAGCAATATTTGACAATCTGTCAAAATAATCAAGCTTTCAGGACATAAGTGGCCCTAAGCTGAAATCAAAGATGTTTGCTAATCAGGAATAGATCTTCAACCCAAGTTAAGGTGTACCAGCACTGGATTTTACATGAGGGTATCACATTTATGTCCTTGTACAAATATGTAGCAGAGCCAGGAGAACAGCAGGCAATGTACACATAAAGAGAACATACAAAAATGTTATGTTTGCTTTAACATATGATTTGATGAAAAGTATGGATTTTCAATACAATATTTGAAAAGTATTTCATAATTTGTGAAATTATTACTGGAACTAAAGCACTGTAAGATTAAGAGTGCTGTTATAAATAAGATGATCCTGCTGAACAAAAACTACATTGATTATTTAAAAATAAATGTGTAAGCTATTCAAATTACTATTTAAAGTGGCATCAGTAATTTTGTGAAAATTAGTCATTGGCCTTCATTCTTTGGTGAAATATTATATGTCTCATGCTTGGCAAACAAAAGGTACATAATTCTATTTTGGAATTTGTTTGCTTTTTAGTTTTACTGATTTCATGAAATATATTTTTTCCTGTCAACTGTAAATGAAACATAGTCTATTTCTGTTGTTCTTCCAGACCAATTCTTTAATATCATATCTTCTCTACAGGATGATACAATAGTATTATGCCTGCATTATTAGTCATAACAACATACTGTATTCCTTCAATTAACAGAATTTATTGCTTTATGTCCTTCATTATAGATGATGTGAAGAAATCACTACGTCAGCTTGATGTCACAAGTGCATTCATAGCTCGTCTGGCACCAGAAGGTAACGTGCAGCATCTCTTTGGTAAATTCTTGCTTCTCTTATTTGCTGGAAAAGTGAAAAAAAATGTAAGTAGAAGCTTCAGCCATGATTGATGTCCCTCTAATGCCACAACACACATTAAGAAATATAGGGCTCCAATCACATGGTCTCAGTCCTTCAAGATAGTCCAGACAAGAAGTACCAACCACCTACTGTATATACAACTAAAATTCTTCTGCCTGTAACCTTTAACTGGGTAAAACAGTGCATCATATGACAATGATTTTTGAATCAAGATACCTCAAATGGGCTAACTTACAGAATGCATCCAAAACTAGGATCCAAGACTCCTGTGGGATTGAAATTCAGCAAATTTTTGGTCATTTCTGTGTTACCACATTGTTGTGCCACCACCCAGATTTTCAGTAGATCAATTCTGTCTCTGAAGGCCAGGTAGATTGCCCATGCTCCCAGCATCTGGAGACCAAGTAGATCAGTCCTGCCCTAGAGGCAGGTGGGGCAGTCCCACCACAGGCAAATTGGCAGCAAGTGAGAAATGGCACACACTCCCGTTGGTTTTTTTCTGCCCTTGGCCATTCTTTTCTCTGGCTAAATAAATATCTCTGAAACAATGGCCAATAAGTTGCTTAGTGAGTACTAATATTATTTTTATTGTAAGTTTGCAATAACAAAACCTTGCAAATCTGAAAGTACTTCCCCCTTTCTTTACTTTTAATGTCCAGAAAATTAGGAATGCTTTCTTTTGAGATAATTCCCCATGTCAGTTTTCCTTCTGTGGATTGAGATACATTTTTGCATGACAGTTGTCTTTCCTTCTGTCTCCCAAGGCCACTTCCATATATTCATAATCATGGCTTTACTTTTCAAATTATTCTTTTGTTTGTTTCTTAGTTTTTGTTCCTGCAATTGAAAGACTATCAGCAGCTTACCTAAAATATAAAATCAATACAACATACATGGTATAAGCGTCTATAAAAACCATTCCATTGAGCATAAAAATACAAAAATGAAAATAGAATCTTTCCGTTCCCATTTGGCAACATATTTTTGTAGGACTGTAATTTTTTGGATAATTTAAAATAAATATATGCTCCTATTTATTTTTAAAATCTTGAAAATAATTAATTATGATCTGGTTTTAATTGGTTATATCAACATTTTGCTTATCAAATGTGCATATTTGTTACTGGATGTTTGACCATTGTCATTTTTAAATATTTTGTAGAAGATGTTGTCATCCATGAGTTTGCTAGCCTTTGTCTCGTACATATGTCAATTGATTATAACAGTAAAGTACAAATATTTGAGCAAGGTGGACTAGAGCCTCTTATCCGATTGCTAGGAAGTCCTGATCCTGACGTTAAGAAGAATTGTGTGGAATGCATCTATAATCTAGTGCAGGTGATGATTTCCTTCCCTTTTTCATTAGAAAGTAATGTCTTCTTCTATAAATGAATCTGATATTGGATGCTAATCCACATTTTATTTACTCAACTTTTCCTGCCATCTTATTTTCAAATGCATCCTCCTCCTCATATCTCTTCATAGTGACATGGGTTGGTTTGCTTGATGAATTCCCCCTGCCAGTTAACCCAGCTGATGTCATTATTTTAATCCATAAGACTGCTGATCGTAAGTTAGTTAGGAAGAAAATAAGAAGGCTTATAAGAAACATTGAGAAACATTCATGTTTTTATTTTCCATCCTTGGTAAAATATGATTAATGCTATCACTATGCCCACAGAACTAAATTTGCTCACAAAAGTTTTACTGCTTTCAGTTGGTAAGAGCTGTTGTCAGATGTCTCTTGAATGAATTAGGGTGATTTACTAAATGGCAAGTCTCATTGATTCTGATTAAATTTGTTAATTAAATGTGTTTAGTATAGGTTGGAACATACTCCATTTAAAGGCCTATAAAGGAAATAATTTTCAGTAGAAGAATGCATAAAACCTATTGTCTCTTCACTCTCTGGAATAATGTTTAAGTTCTATAAAAGGCTATAAAAATGTCCATTTATGACAATTTAGAATAAGAAGTATTATATTTGTATTATTCTTGCCTAACACATAATGATTTTGCACCTTTTAAACTCTTAGTAAATGATTTTGACAGCTTCTTTTCAGAAAGGGGGGAAGGTTATTGTAATTGGTTACTTTCACAATCAGTGTTAATGTCACCATATGCTGGTTAGCAAAAGAATAGTAAATTGGTAGAAGAGCTCTTTTCAAAGTCTAATAGCCCAATCTACAATCCAGTGAAGCTGAAACAGTGGGACTTAAGTTATTTTAGCTCTCCTGATTTAAATGGTACCAAATTGGCTTAAATCCAAGTACTCCAATTGAACAGGGTTGTGGACCAAGTTATAAGTGAATCAACTCTGTAATGAATTCAATTCACAGTTCAATCTTTTCTAGGGCACCAGAGCATGTCTTTATTCTGAATCACATTTTGCTGTTTCCATTCTTTGGCTATCTATCCTTATTGTAAGGTATATCAGGACAACTGCACCTGGTGCTTGTTTAAACTGATAAGTGAAAATGTATAGAAAAATGCACAAAAATGGATTTTGAAAACTTATAGTAGCAAGTTACTAACTAGTAACTTTTACTATTTTAATGTAGCACAATCAGAAAAAGTTTAAATATTTAGCAAGGCAGTTTAAAAACATTTAGCCATTTAAAAAAACAAGAAAGTAGAGATATGAAAATACATACAAATATGAAATGGTCAAACTGCATTTCTTTTATTCGTCTTGTGTCAATATATTAAAAATTTTCTCTAGTAAAGTTTATCATGGATGAATTACAGTATTTACAAGCTAAACATTTCTGAGTTTTGTTCTGTATAATATATAATTTGTGACACATGGAATTCAATGCTTGATCTGTTGAAGAAGTGTTTAAACTGTATTTGAACTAACTTATTCATTTGGTAACAGTCCTAATTATATTGTGCTTTATATTGTTTTTTCCCCAATCACATTATTTTTATTTGATATTTAAATATAGGATTTTCAAAGTCGTGCTGCAATACGCGAATTAAATGTAATGCCTCCTTTGTTGGAACTTCTGAAGTCTGACTACCCAGTTATTCAGTTGTTAGCACTCAAAACTTTAGGTGCCATTACCATTGATAAAGAAACAAGGATGATGCTAAGAGAAAATCAAGGATTAGATCATCTTTTCAAGATACTGGAAACTAAGGTATCCTTGAAGACATCAAAGATATGAATTTTAGTCAGTTAATCAATTCAAACTGGAGAAATTGCACATGAAAAAATGCAGTACTTAATAAGAACATTAGAAAAAATTGTTCTACACATGAAGAAATATATATTTAATGACAATACTTTTGTTAAAAGGGTTTTTTTCCTTGGTTAATTAAAGAAGACTTTTGAGTTCAATGAGATATATTTATTTCGATTAAAGTAATGTCAACTAAACTAATTATAAATTGAATGGAATACATGTAAACAGATTTTCTTTAGATAAAATGAGTGCTTTCTAATTATACGGAATAATGTTCCCTTGGTTTCTTGAGGCTAGAAGGGACCTCTAGAATGAACGGTATTTGCATACATCATTAGATCAATACATTTGGCATATTTTCTCAGTGTGAGGCTTGTTTAGTGTAATATTTTATACAATTTTATTTGATTGATTTATATATTACACAAAATCACCATATAATTTATTTGTGAATATGATATTCATTAAAATTATATAGGAATTTATTAGCAAACCATGATTTGGCCTAATCTTATATGTAGATGCTTGTTTGTTTATTCATGTCATAATCATCACAATTAAAATTAGGCGTACTATATGACGTAACATTTAAAATATAAAATACAAGATTAAAATATGCACAGATTAAATAGATCTTGCCCAGAAAACATTAATTGCAGTGAAAGTTCATTCTCCAAGCTTTGTGGGTTGGTTTCTGGATGTTTTGTTACCAGGCTAAGTACCATCTTCAGTGGAGTTTAGGGGATGTCAGTGTCAGTATTCTTCTATTTATAAGGGCTTCAGGTATGGGGGTGTCAAGTGATGGTCTTATAATGGGTCAGGTGTGAGTCATCAGTGAGAGTCTTGTGATGGGTCTTGTGATAGGGAGGTTACATCAGATCAGGGTCATTGGGAGGTGAACTGTTGGTAGGGAGGGTTGCATGGGTTGATTGAGGGTCAGTGCTATCTCTGGTTGGCTGTGCGGTTGATTTGGATTCTGAAGGGTTCATAGGCTGGTTGTATGTCAATGTGTGTGTTGATGGAATTGCTTGTGAAATAGGCTTTGATGAACACATGAATGTGGCACGTGATAGCATGGCCAATTATTTTTGCTCCAATCGAACTGGTGTTGTTTGGTATGTATCAATGTGGGTAGAGATGAAGGATTTGGATTGTGGCATTTGACTGCTAGCTGGTGTTTGTGGATTCTGGTTTTTGATTGATGTGATGTTTGCCCCACATAGAATTGGTTGCAATGGTTACAGTTGATTTTGAAGATTATATTGTTTCTTTCATCATTCTATATCTTGTTTTTACTTCTGAATAATTCCTGACGGAGTGTGGCTGAGGATTTGTGGGCTATTGCTATTCCTAGGGATTAGAGGATTCTGGCAGTCATTTCCAACACCCTTTTTGTGTATGATAGGGTTAGTTTTTGTGTGATGGTTGGCTGTGTGATGTGTTGTGGTTTAGGTGTTGTGTCGGAATATGAAATTTTTTGGATAGTTGTTATGGAGAAAGACGTCAAGCAGCTATTTCTCTTATGCTTTTCTTAGCATTGTGGTGCTATAGTGTGTCCTGGCCCTTCTGAATAGGGTCTGGACACAGCTTTTTTTGTGTGCAGCAGGGTGGTTGCTTGCAAAGCTGACTATCTGGTCTGTGTACATGGGTTTGCAGAAGACAATGGATTTCCAGTTCTCTGTTTTAGCACAAAAAAAAGAGGAATTGCAATATACATCAAGGAATGGATAAATGCAAAAAAAATATGCAGATAAGAAGGGTGGATTTTAATGATAGAAATAGAAACAGAACAAAGAAAAATTCTTCTCATAGCAATACGCTCCCCAAATAAAAACCAAAAAGTATTTACAAGAAGATCTACCAAAAAATAACAGAAATATAATATGAGGATATATGTCTAATTGGTGACTTCAATGCTATAACAGATATCAACGATGACTACAAGAGTAACAAAAGAAATAAGAAAAAAAGAATGCTACCATCTACCTTTTTCGAAATGGTGTAGGAATTGAGCCTGAAAGATGTATGGAGAGAAAGGAATATAGGAAACAAACAATTTACATATTATTCAACCCCCCTCCCCCAAATCATGGTCAAGGATAGATATGATTTGGTCAACCCAAGAATTGAGAAGAGATACAGAACAGATTGAAATAATGACAAACACCTGGGGCGGATCACAACCCAATAAAAATAACATGAAAGGACCAA